GTAAATATGCGGATTTAAGTATGTAAAAGCTGATAGAACACTGATGAAAATATTGCTTCGGAATAAATTGTTTACTCCACCAAAAATCTCAGTGATGCAGTTGTTTTGTGGGGATATTTTGTATGGAATATTGTCTGCTGACATGAAAAGTTCACTGTACATCATAGTAATAAATACAATTTATTACAGCATTGATATTTTGTTTTCTTTTTAATTTATACACATTAAATATTACATATATGTATGTAATAAAATGTGTATTTCCATTACAGGTTTAGGTCTTAAATTTCATATAAGGTGGTATTAAAAAGGTCTTAAAAAGTCTTAAATTTAACTTGTTCAAGTCTGCAGAAACCCTGTATACATTTAGCTATAGGATCCTGCTAGCAATTTTCCCCCTTGACTCGTACTGCACAAAAAGTGGTTTAATAACGCTGAATGTTACAGGGACTGATTATTGCAAATGCAGATCCCACTGTGTTCTGGTTAAATAATTTTTATTTATTTGATTTATTTATTGCTAAGGTTTGCATATGGTGGTGTGTTCTTTATGACAGCTTTCCTTAAAATATATCCTATTCCTAAAATAAGAAGTATCCCAATATATCGCCTTGCTTACAGTATCGCAATGTATCACAACCCCTTTATAGTGATACGTATCGTATCGCCAGATTCTTGCCAATACACAGCCCTAATTAATTATTACTAACTCATCATTAATTACGTATAAAGTAACATTAACTCATGTCTTATTAATGTATCATTATGTCATGATTTTACTTGGGGGGGCACATTATTACTAACTCATCATTAATTACGTATAAAGTAACATTAATTCATGACTTGTTCATGTATTATTATGTCATGACTTTACTTGGGGGGGGGGCACATTATTACTAACTCATCATTAATTACGTATAAAGTAACATTAATTCATGACTTGTTAATGTATCATTATGTCATGACTTGTCTTGGAGGGGCACATCTTTAAAAGGTTATCAACTACACATATTCTGTTCTATACATATTCAGCTCATCTAAATCAGATATTTGGTGCTTTACGCTGGTTTGTAAA